AAGCTCTTAGCCACTGAGCCATCTCTCCAGCTTTTTTGCTTTTTTTTTTTTTTTTTTTGGTTTTTCGAGATAGAGTTTCTCTGTGTAACAGCTCTGGCCATCCTGAAACTCACTTTGTAGACCAGGCTGGCCTTGAACTCACAGAGATGCCTGTCTCTGCTTCCTAAGTGCTGGGATTAAAGGTGTGTGCCACCACCACCCTGCTTGTGGTATATTTCTAAAAAGTCTGGCAGATGGAGTACCCTTTCACTTTAGTCTGTTCTGCTTAGCTTCTGTCCACTGTGTCCAAGGAGGTAACTAGACATGGCTTTCCCCGAGAGGAGTGTAGGAATCTTAGGTGTGTTCTAAAGCCTCTGCTCATGACTTGACAGTTACGAACTGATGTGCATCAGATTATTATTTTTGAAGTGCTCTACATTAAAGTTGTGTGTGTGTGTGTAGGAGTCAATTCTCTACCATTTCAGATCTGGGGAATCAAACTCAGGTCATCAGGCTTGGAGGCAAGCCTTTTTTTCTGCATTTCAGCTTTAAAGATTTATTTTTATATGTGAAAGCATTTTTTGTTTTGTTTTGTTTTTTTGAGACAGTTTCTTTATGTTGCTTTGGAGCCTGTCCTGGAACTAGCTCTTGTAGACCAGGATGACCTCGAACTCACAGAGATCCACCTACCTCTGCCTCCTGAGTGCTGGGATTAAAGGAGTGCGCCACCACTGCCTGGTTTATGTGAAAGCATTTTGTCTACATATTTGTATGAGTACCGCCTGTGTGTTTAGTTCCCTGCAGAGACCAGAAGAGGGCATTGGGTCTCCTGAACTGGAGTTGTAGATAGTTGTGACTTGCCACGCAGGTGGTGGGACTAGAACCCAGGTCCTTTGGAAAATCAACAATTGCTCTTAACTGCTGAGCCACCTCTCTAGTCTCCCTCTTTCTCTCCCCCCTCATGTGTAATTTTTTTGTCTGTTGCTTATACCAGTTTCAGTCATTAGACTTGATACTTTTCCTTTTTCAGCCGCTTGAGTACCTGAGGTGTGTGCCATTGTGCCTAGCTTTCAGCTGCTTGCTTTATTTATTTATTTATTTATTTATTTATTTATTTATTTATTTATTTAGCCTGCAGGCCAGAAGAGGGCACCAGATCTCATTTCAGATGGTTGTGAGCCACCATGTGGTTGCTGGGAATTGAACTCAGGACCTTTGGAAGAGCAGGCAATGCTCTTAACCACTGAGCCATCTCACCAGCCCTTTCAGCTGCTTTTTAAAGAGAAAACTAAATAAAAAGGAAACAGAAACCTGGCATTTTGTGCCAGTGTCTTAGCTGCCTGTTGCTTCTTGACTTTGTGATGACCTTGGTTTAGCAGAACTAACTGGTAGGTTCCTCTGTTCTCTCCAGTTAGAATTACCTTCAGGCTACAGTGCTTTTGTCTGTGTAGTGGGAGCTTGGATAATTCTCTGTTGACCAGGTTTTGTGTTTTAGGCTCCGTTCATTGTACAGCAAGCTCTTTAAGCAGGACTTGGAAGCTTTTCTTCCCATGAAGCTGCTGAGCTTGCAGTCCTTTCTCAGCTCCTATCAGACTACCTGTCCCTGGTGTCCTGGGCAGTGCTGGTCAGTTCTGTCCTTTGAGCCAGGTTTCTCTGATCAGGCTGTGTCTTCCCCTATGTCCACCTTGATATGAGTCTTGGCCTTCATCCTGCTCTCCTCTTACTCAGCTGTTAGTCTTGTCGAGCACCAGTCATCCTTCAGAGAGGCTTCTCTGCCCCTCTAAATAGGCCTTTTGAGCTATGTCTCATTTTGTGCATTCAGGTTTCTGTAAGGGGAGATTCACTTGGCGTTGTGGGTTGAATTGCATCCCTCAAAGCTGTATTCAAGCTGTAACCCCAAGATCTGTGAAGTGACCTTATCTGGAAATTGAGTCTTTGCGGGAAAGACTTTTTTTTTTTTTTTTTTAAGCACCTGGCTAGTCTGTTCCCCCACTTGGGAACTTTGTTTGTTTTGTAGTGCTGGGGATGGAGCCTCAAGCATCTAGGGACAGGTGTTACCACTGAGCCACACCCTAATCCCATGAGAGTCTTTTGAGTTGCCTATCACGTGAATTGTACATACATGCCTCCTTCAGCCCAGTTTCCAGCAGGCTCTTTATACCATGTTCTAAACATCTGTGATTATGACAAGGGTGACAGTTCCATACTTACTTAGCCATTATCCTATTTAGCAGCAATGCAGACCTTCCCAGCATCCACACTTTTCCTCACACAGAATGCTGATAAACTTTGGAAAATAATGCCAGTAATGTGTTGTTATCTAACAGTAATTAATCAAACTTTGGATGTTGTCTCTTTGAGGATCAGTATTGCATTTGGTCCCCTTTTGCTTGCATGGGGACTTGCTCTGCTTTTCCATACCTAGCAGTTATTTTTAAAAAATTTAGAGGGGGCTGGAGAGATGGCTCAGAGGTTGGGAGCAATGGCTGCTCTTCCAGAGGTCCTGAGTTCAATTCCCAGCAACCACATGGTGGCTCACAACCATCTGTAATGAGATCTGGTGCCCTCTTCTGGTGTGCAGGCACACATGCAGGCAAAACTGTATACATAATAAATAGATAAATCTTGAAAAATTAAATAAAAAGTCACAAGGTGTGTGAGACCCCTGTGGTGGCACATGGGCCAGGAATGACCTCGTCATCATGGTCCTTGATGGAAGATCCTGCAAAGCTCAGGTTGGGGGGAGGCTTTCAGTTTAGATGAGCAATGAGACCAGGCTGTCTATGGCTCTGTGTTCCTGCTGGCACTGCCAGGTAGGCTGGCCCTACTCTAGCTGCGACCCTTCCCTGGTATAAGTTGGAGATGGTGGTAACCCTGCTAGGGCTGAGTATATCAAGTGCTGTGCCTTTAAGTGTGTGGATGGGATTTCAGGCCAGACAAACTAAACAGGGATGGTATGTGAGTGGTGTGGTATATCCGTGGCTGAGAACAGCACCTATGTGTTGGTGGCACCTTTTAGTGAAGTGACCTCACAGATATGCATGGGCTGGGCAACGTGCTTTCTGCATCCGCTAGTGGAAACTCATGCCAGGCTCTAGGCTAGCCAGTATGTGCTCAGTGTGGAGTTGGTCACGTTGCCGTGTTCCCCATGCTTGCTACATGCTGACCTTTCCCTGTTCAGTTCCATGTTGGCTTTTGAGCCTCATGTTTCAAAGTCACAGAGGAAGTGTTTGTTGCTTTTGTTGACAGCCTATGTATATATTTTCAAGAATGAAAAGTGGGTGTTTGATTTTTATTTGAGGTCTTTCTAGTATCTGTAGAAATGTTGATATGATTTCTCTTTCATTCTGTCACTTTATTCTGTTGACAGAGTCCTCTGCTTGGGTGCACATTCCTTGTGGCTCATACCCTCTGCTCTAGAGACAAACACTCCCAAGGGTTGCTCTCCTTTGGAGTGCCTTACTGGGTGGCCTGTGTTGCAGGGTGTTTTGTTGATTGTGGATACATACTGCAGAGACCCTGATTCAGCTTCTAGCAGATCTGCTCTGTTTTCCTTCATTCTTCTTTCGAGTACCATGCTTGACCCCTTCTGTTGCTGGACAGTGTCTTGTCAAGGGCACTGCGTGCAAGGCTGATTATCTAGGTGTTTCACCTTCATCTTTTGTTTGTTTGTTTGTTTGGTTTTTTTGACTCTTTTGAGGGGTGGCTACCACATAGCTCTCAAATAAATACATATAGAGGCTTATTCTTTCTTGTGAATACCTAGCCTTAGGTTGGCTTATTTCTAACCAGCTTTTCTTAAATTATTCCCTTTACCTTTTACCTCTGGGCTTTCACCTTTCTCTATTTCTGTATTTCTTTCTTTCTTGCTCTGTTGCTGATTGTGTAACTGGGTGGCTGGCCCCTCGAGTCCTCCTCTCTTCCTCCTTTTCTCATTCCTCAATCCCCTCCTAGATTTCTCCTCCTATTTATTCTCTGCTGCCAGCCCTGCCTATTCTTTCTCCTGCCTTGCTATTGGCTGTCAGCTTTTTACTACACCAGTCAGATGTTTTAGACAGGCAAAGTAATGCAGCTTCACAGTGTTAAACAAATACACCATGAAAAAATGCAGCACATCTTTGCATCATTAAACAGGTGTTCCACAGCACAAACAAATGTAACACATCTTAATAGTCCACAGCAGTGCTGAGAACCCCAGCTTCAAAGGCTGGAGTTGGGGGTGGTGTGGCCAACTATAAGAGCTAGCAGGCCCGGGGCTGGAGAGATGGCTCAGAGGTTAAGAGCATTGTCTGCTCTTCCAAAGGTCCTGAGTTCAATTCCCAGAAACCACATGGTGGCTCACAGCCATCTGTAATGGGGTCTGGTACCCTCTTCTGGCCTGCAGGCATACACACAGACAGAATATTGTATACATAATAAATAAATAAATAAATAAATAAATATTTAAAAAAAAGAGCTAGCAGGCCTCTGGTATGGGCCCCAGTAGCTTGCTACTGGTGTTCTCACTGGGTGTGGCTGCCGTTGTCTCTTCTCATGCATTCATTGCACTTTGGGGACATAGGCTTTCTTGCTGCTTCAGGAGAAGCCTTGGTCTTCCTCTAGATCAATGGTTTTCAACCTTCCTAATGCTGTGACTTTTTAATACAGTTCCTCATGCTGTGGTGAATTATTTTCATTGCTACTTCATAACTGTAATTTTGCTGTTATAAATCATAATGTAAATATCTTTGTTTCCTGATATTCTTAAGCAACCCTGTGAAATGGTTGCTCCACACCCCCTCCAAGTGGTTGTGACCCATAGGTTGAGAACTGCTAGATGTTCTAGATGTTACAAGAAAGTTATTGGAGATTAAAGGATGTTACTAGAGGTTCTAGGAAGGAACATGCTTGCTTGTTTTGGAATTGGGAAGGTATTTTCCAGAGGGATATTAGGAACATTTTGTGTACACAGAATGTCGTATGTAACAGAAATATGGATGGAAGCATTCTACATATGGTCATGTGGCAATTTCTCTTTACAGAGACACAGCCCTGATGAGTCCATGGAAATGGGTCAGCAAAGTTAAGTCAGAGCTATAACCCTGAGTTTTAGCTCAGACCTGATGACTTGAGCCTGCTGATGTCCAGTGTTCTGGAAATTCAGTGCCCATAGATGTGGACCAAGGAAGAGCCCCGGCCATGGTCACTCTTATCACAGAGAAGCTGCAGAACCAGAGTTTGGATGACCTTACCCGAAGGGCCCGTGAGGCTGGCCCGGTGAGTCAGCTTGGGGGTCAGAGTGGGCACAGCCCACTGTGTGGAGACATAGACACGGAGATAGTACGCTTAGGGTGGAGACAGAGCTGAGTGGGGGCGTTGGACAGAAGCCAGTGTCTGTCTAATTATCACCACAAACAAATCAACTTCCAATGCAAAGCTGACCAACACAGATTTCTGTGGCCTGCTTACCAGATCTGCCAGGGTAAGTGATCCTGTGGTCCTGCTGCCTCTTTCCAGGGATGTCTCAGATTTATCAACTCAGATTCGTTCATCTGCTTTAGTTTAGTAGGTGGGTCTCTTTTTATTTTTTTAACCATGAAGTCATTTATTTTATTAATTCATAGTTAATTTATTGAGTTTTTTTTTTTTTTTTTCAGAGACAGGTTTTCACTGTGTACTCATAGCTGGCCTGGAACTAGCTGTGTAGACCAGGCTGGCCTCAACTCAGTCCACCTGCCTCTGCCTCCTGAGTGCTGGGATTATGGGTGTATACTGTCATATCCAGTGGTTACTTATTTTTAATGTTTTATGTTTGTAACTACTTATTACATGACTCCACATGCACTTTAATGTTTTGTCTTTGGTTTTCAGTGCCATGAAACTTGACACTAACACAGATACACTCTAAATACAGCTAGGGATTCCAGAAACACAAAACAAAGTATGCAAACAACTCTTGCGCTCTTTCCTTCAGCTCTCGTATGATGATGATGTCCGTGTTGGGCCATGTTCATGCCCAGACTGTAGGCACGAGTCTTTCTAAACTTGGATGCCTAAAGGACGTTTTTTTTCCTAGTGAACTTTTCATAAAATTTACACTTGGAAAAGTAGATTCACCTAGTCGAGGCATTCTAAACATAATTAACAATTTTCTTTCCTTTTTTTTTTTTTTTTTTTCAAAACAGGGTAACTGTGTAGCCTTGACTTTCCTAGAACTAGCTGTGTAGACCAGGCTGGTCTTGAACTCACAGAGATCCACCTGCCTCTGCCTCTTAAGTGCTGGGATTAAAGGCATGTGCCATCAGCCATTGGCAATTTTCTAATAACAAAACTGAATATCAGTTTTAAAAGTAAAATTTTAAATAATTAAATGTTAATAAAACTCAAAGTCGTTAAGCATTCAGTGCCTCCATTGCTATTATTGTGGTACTAGTCTGGGTTGTTTGTGCTGCCTGCTTGACCCTCCATGTGCTGGGTGGGGACAACTTGTGGTGGCCACAGTTCTGGCTCTTGGGCCACAAGACTGATGCAGTTTTTTGAGCTCAAGGTCAGCAGAACTAGAGGAGAATGCAAGGAACCTCCCCTAGTCTTAGGGCTCTGTTGTTGGGACAGATGCTGATGTTTGCCACTATGGACTCTGTCATCATGGGCTCACAATGTGTGCCTGATCCTGCACCTTTGGTCCTCCTCTAAAGCCAGAGTCCTTCAGTACTCTTCTGATTCAGCAGGACTGAATCCTCCCATCTTTGCTATCTCTATTCATTTTATTTGGTCATATTATGTACCCTCTGCCTGAGGCACACCCAGTTTTTCTTACTTTGCCTCTCGTGCTTGAAGGATAGAGAATAGTCTGGCTGTTGCAGAAAGACCTGGAAAAATGTGTGGTTGTATCTGAATGACTGCTACCTCAAGGGTGGAGAGGCATAGATGGTTTGTGACCATAGGTGGAGGATTGGTGAAGGCAGTGATCTAATGTATTGCTGGGTTGCCAGAGCAACAATGAGTATCTAGGATATGATTTGGGATGTACATTGAAGATGGGAGTTTTTTGTTGGCTGTGAAAGTAGGTTTGGGGGCAACAAGGACAGGACAATTGACAAGTAGTTGGGCCCTGCTGTCACATGTATTTGGACTTAGAGTATTCTCAGACAGCAGGGGACACTGGAACCTGAATTTCACATATGCATTTCAGTTGTGCATTGAGGCTTCTGATGCAGAGCTGGGAAAGTGTTTATTTACCTCCTAAGAGGCAGGGAGATAAGGAACCAGTGTAGCTGGAGAAAGTGGGCAATGACCTGGGCAATAAGTGCTTTCTGGGATGAGGGCTTGGTGGCAATGGAGATACTATGCTGGTTGGTTTTTGTCAACTTGGCACAAGCCTGGTCATCTTAATTGAGAAAATAAGGTTAAGCATTTTCTTGACTAATAGTTGATGGTAAGGGCACAGCTCAGTAAGGATAGTACCACCCCAGGTAGTATAAGAAAGCAGGCTGAACAAGCTGTGCAGAGCAAGCCAGTAAGCAGCATTCCTCCATAACGTCTGCTTTAGTTTCTGCCTTCTGGTTCATACCCTGATTGAATTCTTGCCTTGGCTTCTCTCAGTGGACCGTGACTAGGGATATGTAAGCCAAATAAACCCTTTCCTCCCCAAGTTGCTTTTAGTCATGGCATTTTATCACAACAGTAGAAAACATAACTAAGACATATGCCTTGGTCCTAGGATTTGACTCTTAGGTGCCAAGGGATTGAAGTAGAAGGGCTGTGATCCAGATCAGAGTAGCAGTCCCCTCTAGCTATGGGAAGAGGATAATGGGGTCAATGGAAGCAGAGAAGGCCAGCCAAGACCACCAGCACTAGCTTGGTCCAGGATAGATGCAGTAGAGCTAGAGTAAAAGGCTAGTGTTGAAATAAGGAGCGGCGGGACTGCGTCCCCAACACCCCGGCCGCTTGGCTAGCTCATGCCCGAAATAACAACACACAAACTGTATTCATTTAAGAACTGCTTGGCCCCTGAACTCTAGCCTTTACAGGCTAATTCTCGCACCTGGACTAGCCCATTTCTAATGATGTGTGTAAGCACCCCAAGGTGCGCTTACCGGGAAGAGTCTAGCCTCCGTCCATCATGGTGTCTCTGCTCCAGAGTGCAGAGATGTTGAGTCTCTGCGGGAGCAGAACAGAGTCTGACCTCACTTCCTCTTCCGCCCAGCATCCTATTCTGTTTTCTCCTCCCATCTATGCTTTAACCTATGAGGGCCAGCCAAGCAGTTTCTTTATTGCTCAGCCAATGAAATCAACAGATTGATATGACACTCCCACATCAGGCTAGGAGCTAGCTGTCGGGAAGAGGAGAAAGGAAAGTGTGATGTGACTGAGCTGGAAGCAAGAAGCATGGAAGGTTTATCATGTCACTGGTTTAGATGGTATAACATGGGCGGTTGGTGCCCCTAGCCATGTCCATCTGGGCAGGGCCAGGCTTGAATTGGCCCAGTGGGAGCCTGCTATCTCAGCAAATCTACCTTCTTGAGTATCTCTCAAGGAGGCCCAGAAGCTGCCATGTCTCAAGGTCCTGGATGTGGTATGATACAGAGACTGAGCTCTACAAATGGGTGTGGTCAGTGTTAGATCCACTGTATTGAGTGTCTGCACTCATGTCCTTGGGTTCTTCACCTTCTCATCCCATCTCTCATAGATCCCTGTAGATGCCTTCTGTGAAGAGTCTGGCTATTCTGCACCAGTCCTTGCATGTGTGCTGAAAAAACATCTGGTTAGGTACAGGCCCACAGCTCCTCAATTATCCCAGGAACCATTTCTGTTGGCTGAGAAAGGCCTGTCCTTCCTGGAGTGTATTAGGTTATTCTGGTGGGTGCATTCTTGTGCATCCTGGGGATGCAGGCCCAGGGAAGGTGGGCTATGAAAACAGATCAGGTACTTGCTCTCAGCAAGTGGTTGGACTGGCTGGCTAGTGGAGTGGCTATCAGCCACCTGGAAGGAAACCATTGTGCTGGCCCAAGACTGTGGTCTTTTGCAGCTATTCGAAAGGTGTGGGCAGTCCACTAACTATGCACAGTGGCATGAGAGCTTTCACCATTTGCAGTATCTCTAAAGCAGCCTTCTCTATCCATCTTAGTTTGAGGTTGTCCAATGCCCACAGAGTCCAGGTTGGTCATGTGTTCACCACCTCCATTCAGCAATGCTCGGGGAAACATAATCCACTGCAGAGGAAGACCTGTCTATCTCTAGACAGGTACCTGTTGTTAAACGGTAACTTTTTGAGTCATAAACCCAACTTTTAACTTTTTATTTTTATTTGTTTTTTCCTTTCTTTTTCTTTTTTTTTGAGAATAGAGTTTTACTTAGCCCACCTGACCTTGAATATGTTATATACCCAAACTCCTGATCCTTCTTTTTCTATCTCTATGAAATTCCCAACTGCTGAATTACAGGCATATATCACTACACTTGTCTTGCTTATTGATTGATTGATTGACTAGACAAGGGTCTTGCTAAGTAGCTCAAACTAATCTGAAGTTTGGAGTATTCCTCTTGCCTTGACCTTCCTGACTGCTGGGATTATAAGTATGTGCTAAACACCTGCTTTCTCTTTATGTGAAACAACAGTAGTTCTCCAGGACTTCTGGTACAGTTGCTATGGCATTTCCTGCTAATCTTTGAGACTGTCAATGGCTTATCTGCCTTCCTGGAGGGTTTTTTTTTCTGCTCTCTGGACCCTTCTCAGGACTGGGACCATCAAGCTAGGACCATCAAGATACTATATTTGGACTGTCATGACCAGTAAAGGGTTCTTGGGTCTTGGCTCAGTCTTTTTTTTCCTTCATTTTTGTGTTATGGGTGTTTTGCCTACATGCATGTTTGTGCACCACTTTTGTGCAGCCGCCTGTGGGACCAGAAGAGATCATTGTATTCTTTGGAACAGGAGTTATAGACAGTTGTAAGCTGCCATGTGGGTGTGGGAATTGGAATTGAACCCAGTTCCTAGGTTCTCTGGAAGAGCAGCCAGTGCTTGTAACCAGTGAGTCATCACTCCAGACCCTCAGTCTTTTTTTTTTTTTTAAAGCTTTATTTTTATTTTCCATGAATTAGTGTTTAGCCTGAATATATGTACACCATGTCTACCTGGTGCTGGAGGAGGCCTGAAGAAGGCATTAGATCCCCTGGAAATTGAGTTACAGATGGCTGTGAGCATCTGTGTGCATGCTGGGAATTGAACTGGAGTCCTGAAAGAGTAACCAGTGCTGAGCTGTTTCTTAACTGCTGAACTGTCTTTCTAGCCCCTCAGGATCTTTCTGAAAAGTAACTGGGTGGTGAGGTTTAAAAGACCATTAGTATAGACCATCCAAAAGGAAAAGGCCAAAACTTAAAGAGCAAGTATGAGCTAGTTCCAGGACAGGAACCAAAAGCTACGGAGAAACCCTGTCTCGAAAATCTAAAAACAAACAAACAAACAAAAAAACCAAAAAAAAAAAAAAAAAAACCCAAGTATGAGGAAGCACGTAGTGGGTCTGGATGATGTCTGTTTGTTCAGGTAGATTTTGTTAGGTTAAAAAAAAAAAAACTTCCAATGGGCTCAGTGGGTAAAGGCATTTGTTGCCAAGCCTGGCAACCTGAGTTTGATCCTGGAACCCACATGGTTTTAAAGACATAACTGACTCCCATAAGCTGCTTCTCATTTTAACACGTGCACTATAGCTATACATAACCACCCCATACAGAAAATAAATGTTTAATAAAGTCTTCAACCTTTTTATTAAGAAAAAGGTATTTTCTAGAGGTCAGTACCTGTAATTTTAAACACCAATGGAGGTGTTCGGGAGAAATGACATTACTGTAGTGAACGCTTGAGTTTTCACATAAGTACTGAGACTTCTCTCTTGTCACTTTCAGTATTCTGCTGAGAAACTGAACAAAAGTGGCCATTTGTTCCCTTTGGAGATTGGCGGTAAGTGTCTCAGAAGCACAGGTAGGGTCTTTCTAGGGCTGAAGAGGCTGATGATGGAGCAAAGTGGTGTTGGGTCTTTGGCCAGGAGGGGATTTTGGAGCTACACTGAGTCAGATATTTAGAGCAAGGTTCAAGGAGGCCTTTGTGTGACCTAATGTGGGACAGGAAGATCACAAGCCACCACCCTCCCTGCTCATGATCTAGAAGTCAGAACTGGTCTCTAAGCAGGATGGGCCAGGGTCAAGGCTCAGCAGGGCCTCTCTTTGCTGCTGCTGCTGATGTGGGAGGAAGCTAGAGAGTGCCTTACCCTTTACATAAGACACAAGGCCCACTCTGTGGTTTCCTTTAGCTATCAGGGGAAGGATAATCAGGTGGTACGTGTTCTGGCTGTCATTCTACTGTGATATACACTGGCTGAACAAATACTGAACCTACCTAGGCTTGCCCTCACTTCCTGACACATTGCTCTTTAGGAGTTACAGAGGACAGTGGTCCCTAAGTGTGGGCACACTTCTGATAAATCCAAGCAAAGACCCTGAGGTTAGAATCACCCTGTGTTGGTCTTGACAGTCTGAGCAGCATACATGGTAGAACCATGTCAGAGTCGCCTTGCCGAACACCAGATTACAAAAGTAGAGGTATTGACTAACCTTTGCATGAACAGTTGGAAGTAGGACGTGAGGTCTCAATCCCCATCTCACTGGACCTGTGTCCTCACTCCCGCTTGATTTTGGCTCCTCCAGTCCCTCCTGCATATGGGACCATGTTAACTGCCTCAGGCCCTCCTCAGAGTTCCTGGGGGCCTCTTATGTACTCCTTTCTTCCCTTTTTCCCTCAGTTGGCACTCTTGCCTTCTTGCTATCTCAGGTCATCCCAGGGCCCTGACTGTTTCCTGTTGGTCTCTTGGCCCATACTCCAGTGTCCCTTAGTTTGACAGTGACTGGAAGAAGCAAGGAAAGGCTGAGTGACCCGTGGGATGCCTTCCCATCAAGAGTGTCCAGAGCATCCTTTGGTCAGGTCCCTGGATATTTGGGCTTCACAGCTGGGCTAAAACTATATGAAGACACGCACATACCTGACTTTGCACATCTGTGAGTGAGGGCTGGAGCAGGTGCCTGCCCTTTGCAGCCAACAAGAGGAATAGAAGCTAGGGCCATGGTAGCTCTGAGAAGCTCATGCAGGGTCTGGATGCCAGGTTGTACTGAGTGCTTAAACTGACCCAAGGAGAGTTGGACTAGTCTGGGCAGTGATATGGAGAGCTGTCATGTGGGTATATCCCCTGGGAGATATAGATTTATGTTAGTTCCTGGGGTGCTGAGACTTGTGAGCTACAGTCTGGGGTCAGATGTCTTAAGGGCTCCTAAGTCTTCCTCAGGGGGCTTGATGGAAGGGTCAGAAGAAGTACCCCTTTTTTTGTTGCACTTAACCTGTGATGTCTTAGGTACATGGCATTGCAGGATGACCAGCCACCATGGGGCTATTGCCAGCACCCTGCTTTAGAACTGAAGAAGTGGAGGCTTGAGGATGTTGGGCAGGGTCACAGTCCAATGTCCAGCAGGCAGATGTCCAGGCCAAGTCTTGTTTTGTTTGAGACAGGGTTTCACTGTGTTTCTCAGACACAAAGGAAAACTCTAATTTAAACGCTTGTCAGTTCTGCCTTTGCCTCACCAATCCTGGGATAACAGGAATGAGCCACTATACCTAGCTTCAGCCACAGCCTCTATCTGTAAGATTTGAAACTCTGATTTGGTCATTAAGAAATGTGGCAGTTTCTGTGAAGTAGCGTCGTCTGACTCGTGGCTGGCAAAGGTCCACCTTTAGAGGCCAGCCAAGGACAGGAGTAAAGCATTTTGATGACACAATGTATTAGTGAATGGGGGTAAGATCGGAATCAGATTATTTTCAGGAAACACAGGTGGAGAGACAACTCCTTAAGACCAGGTGAAGCCAGGCATGGTGGCACGCACCTTTAATCCCAGAACTCAGGAAGCAGAGGCAGATGGATCTGTGACTTCAGGGCCAGCCTGGTATTCATAATGAGCTTCAGGACAACCAGGGTTATATAGAGAGACCCTATCTCAAAAAAGGAAAAAAAGACCAGGTGGAGCTTGGTGATTCAGGTGCCAATGGCCATTGAAGATAGGGTAGTACCAACCATGTGAGCAGGGGTATTTTATGTTCAGATGTGTCTGTGAGCCTGGGAAGGGAGGCAGCAGTGTGACTTCCTATTGCTCACCTGTTTCTTCATACACCTTTGTGTTTCCTTAGTGGACAAAAGTCCCTGGAAGGCCTTACATGGAGGATGGCCCATTGGAAGCCAGGTGGCCTCAGGCCCTTTCCCATTAGGCCCACTTGGTGTGTCTCACAACGAAGGTCTCAAATGGCAGCTGGCATCTCCAGGGCCTATGAATGTGGGCAGCTTCTTGGACCTCCGTGAGAGCACAGGGCCACCTGCAGCACCACCAACCAAGCGACACTGCCGGTCCCTGTCGGAACCAGAGGAGCTGGCTCGATGCCGCTCCCCATGGCGCCCTGGCAGCTCCAAGGTGTGGACTCCCATCTCTAAGAGGAGGTGCAACAGTGGTGGGAGCGCCACCCTGCAGTGCTGCAGCGCTCTCGGGAGCCCTGCCCTGCAGGGGCGTTCAGGCCTGCCCAGGAGTTCTGTGTCACCGCCGACGCCCCGGCCAGCTTCAGCCAGCAGTGGCTTTGTGGATGTCAGTGAGGGCAGCGCAAGCTCAGGTCCGCCTTGGCTTTCTGCAGGACCCTGCCCATTTTCCTCCAGGCGCCGACTGTCTCTCTCACAAGAGCACCTTGTAGATGCGAACACTTGCCTGCCTTCAGCTAGCAGCACCCCCACATCCACACCTGAGCTAGGCCGACACCATGGCCTGCTCCGGTGCCGCTCACAGCCTTGTGTGTTGGATGGGAGGAGGGTCCGGCGCAAGCGGAGACGGGAGGAGGATGCCAGGTGGACACGGCCATCCTTGGACTTTCTGAAAATGACACGGGTGAGGCTGCGTTCTGTTCTGGTTGCAGGGAGCTATGTTCTGCCTTGTAGTGTGGTCTTGGAGTAAGGCTGGTTATGGCCAGCAGCCCTCTTAATCTTACTTGAGTACTTTCTTCTGAGATGAGATGCTGTGTAAGGCCATCTTGTCAGGGAACATGGCATAGCTTGGTTGATGGGAGGATGGTTTGTCCCCGCTATCCCCAAAACCTCAGTCATACCCCACAAGCAGAGCACCCACATAGGGAACCTGGATCCTGGGCCCTGAGGAAGCAAGGAGGGACTGAGTGTGGAAGTTCAATGAAGCTATTGCATTTGGTGCAGCCTCATCTCTTGGGAACCCTCACTACATTTTGGGCATGGCAGTTATTTATAAAGTAAGAAGCCTTTCCTGGAAGCTGAGGCAGAGCTTGGTACCACTGAAGGCCTAGACCCTTGGCTTGTGATGACTGCAGGAGCCAGGGCTTGTGACTTGGGCTGTGCCTCATTCAGAGACCAGCAGGTACCTAGATGTGCTGTGCTATCACATTCTGGACATCCCTACACATTCTGGGGAGTTGTTTTGTTGTTGTTGTTCTTTTTGTGTGTGTGTGTTTTTTTTTTGGTGGGTTTTTGTTTTATTTTTGTTTGTTTGTTTTTGTTTGAGACAGAGTTTCTGTGTGTAGCCCTGGCTGTCCTGGAACTTGCTCTGTAGACCAAGGCTGGTTTTGAATTCAGAGATTCACCTGCCTCCCAAGTTCTGGGATGAAAGGCGTGAACCACCACCGCCTGGCAGAGCATTGGGTTTTAATTGGTGTAATAGACCACTGTCTGCTCTCATGTGGATCACAGAGAGGTGCCGGCAATGGGAAGGAGGAGAAGAGAACAGTGAGAATGGGCCCTCACTGTATCTAGGAGGGTATGTCTACTTGGACGCATCTGGGGCTTCTGTAAGGTTTCTTAGCCCCCCTGTGGGAGCTGGAGTGGAGCCCAGCAGCTCTGCTCCCTCTGTGTTGGTCCTTAGCTAGAAGCAGAATTGTAGGCCCTTCTGCTTCCCTCCCACCCCCAGCTGGGGCCGCACTAAGGAGCCTTGGCTGTTCTGTTATGTAGATTAGCCTGGCCTTGAAGTTCCAGAGATTTGCCTGTCTCTGCTTCCTAAAGGCTGGAATTAAATGTGTGGCCTCCTTGGTACTTCTTGCAGAGTTGTGCCTCTCTTCTCTTGGTGACTGGCATTGGCAGTTCCCTGACTCCCTATCACCCATACCTGTCCCAAGGCTTCAAGCCTGATTTGCCTCCTGTAGGCACTGCTGTGAGTGCACGTCAAACTCTGGGTGTTGTGGGTGGTGCCAGGGCTGTCCTGAAAGGAGCTGCTTTAGTGTGTCTGGTGAGGCCATATTGGGACAGTACAGATGGGACAGAGTGCCATTGGGTTGGGAGAAGCCTGTCTGGCAGTCCCAGGCTTGTGGAAAGTAGTGTAGTTCCTGCTGATGTCTTATTTTGTATTCTGCTGGTGTGACTGTTGATCTTCCTGACAGTCAGGTTTTCCAGGTCTTCCTGGTCACTATGAGGGTTGAAAGCCCAGTCTCCCTGGTGTGACTGTAGAGGTCTGATAGAAGGGAAGTGGTGGTGCCTTTAGTGTGATGTCGGCTGTTGGAAAGTTAACAAGTTTTGGATACCCAAGCTTCTCCTGCTAGCCAGTGCTTTGGGTGTGGCATATGGCATCATCACATATGCCAGGGTGACGGCAGCGTAGGATGAGGATGCCGGCAGAGGAGTCCTTGACTTGGTACCTTTTGGGGAAGGGGATAGTGTATAACAAAGACGGGGTGATAACCAAGGGATAGTCCTGCTCTGGAGATGCTATGAACACTCTGGGCTCCATAGGAGGTAAGAAAAGTAAATCTGTCCATGGGCTCATTGTGGAGGTAGGGTGTCTTATGGGCCCCACCTCATCTCTGCTCCATTGTGGCTGTCCCTTCTCCCTACCCCAGCTGTCTGCTTCAGGATTCGGATGCCCTCTGTTCTAGTCAGTCTCCACTTAGTCCCCATAACCCTTGTGACTTACAGTCAGCATCACTGGATAGTTAGCTGTGGAGTCCCCATAACCCCTTGTGACTTACTCACTGGTCAGCATCACTGGATAGTTAGCTGTTGCTGGGTAGCAGGTGAGCCCAGTTCAGCTGGAAGAATCTGAGCTGTGCTGTCTCACTATCCCGTGACTTCAGGTCACAGGACAGGAAGCTCACTAGGAAGGTCCTGGTCATGCTTGCCTGCAGGACCTGCTTCCCAGCTCCCTTCTGTGGTTCCTGACCGTTGACCTTTGTGGGACACATTAATGTTCTTAATCTTTCCAGCGTGTGTGTTGTGAGGAGCTGGCAAGGAGGCACTGCAGTGTTTCGCGGCAGCTAATTTCTGTGAGGTCCGTTGTAGTCCACATGCACCATGATGCATTTGCTTTATGGGACTGGCTTGCAAACCATTTGCAGTGACTGTGTACTGAGCAGGCACTGGCTCAAACACCTGGGATTGTGCAGACAGATGGTGTTGTAGGGGCAGGGGGAGTAGTATAGGAGGCCAGGTGAGAATAACATTGTGGATTTTGTGTATTTGCTTTTACTTTTATTTGTGTGTGTATTTACATGTGGGCATATGTGTTCATGTGTACAATGATCTAGACAGAGTTCAGCCTTGGATGGTATGCTTAGGAATGTCACCCACTTTATTTTGTATTTTTTAAACTATTCTTTTATTTTTGAGATTATAATTACATCATTTCCCTTTCCTTCCCTTCCCTCCAAACCTTTGCTTATACCTCTCCTTGCTTTCCTTCAAATTCATGGCCTTTTTTTCACTAATTTTTATTAATGCATATATATACCTGTAGTTTTTTTGTGTGTGGGGTTGAGGCCTTGTGGTCTTTTCCCTGGTTCTCTTTGGCATGTCTGTTGTTATTGTTTAACTCGTGTTTAGACAGTCATGTTGGTGAGAAAAAAAAGCATACAGATGCTTTCTGACATTAGTAGGAAACCCAGTCTCACATCAAACTCCTTGGTCCTCTGACTCTTATAATCTCTCTGTTCCCTCTTCTACAGTGTTCTCTGAACCTTAAGTGGAGAGTTGTAAATGTGTCCATTGGGGCTGGGCTCCATGATTCTGTATTTTTGATTGTTTGTAGGTCTTCGTCTGTTGCAGAGAAGTTTCTTTGATGAGGGCTGAGGACTACACTTACCTGTGGTATAAGAGCAAATATGCAAATATTTATGATGCAGTAAGGGATTATGCTAGTTTAGGAACCACTGTTTTTTTTTTTTTAATTGAAGCAAGGTTTCTCTCTGGGACATGGGCTTCACCAGTTTGGCTAGGCCAAGTGACCATAGGCCCAGGAACCTTCTTATCTCTGTGACCCCAGTGCTGGAATTAAAAGTATGTCACATACCTGTCAAAAAAAAAAAAAAAAAAAAAAAAAAAAAAAACCCTTAAAGTCCTTGTGAGGACTTTTGAAAGCATTCCTTTAAAAAAGGAATGCTTGAGGGCTGGGGAGACGTCTCAGTCAGTAAAGTGTTCACTATCCAAGCCTGAGGACCTGAGTCTGATCTCCAGCACCTGTGTAGGAAGCCAGTCCCACCCAGGGAAGTCTGCCAACTGGGTGTCCACTTCTGGGATGATCCTTTGAGTTTCCCCACTGTGTCTTTTCCTGTCTCCTTGGTGTTTGTCTGCCAGTCCAGTGAATCTTCTTTTGAAAGGCTAGGGATGTCTTACCCCTCTGAACTCTGCATCTTGTTGAGAGAGGGAGAATTATTTTTTGGCTCTTGTCCTTACAGGGTGTCCCTACAGGGTGTCCCTCATGGTTATTCTGATCTGTCTTCAGGTGAGATGGTTCCTCTAGTATTTGGTGCCACCTTCCATTTGCTCCTGTTTGAGACATGGGTCTGAGCACACCTCAACTTTGAGTTTTCTGGAGTAGTCTGGTGTTGGGACTCCTGTGTTTCTGGCCATTTCTTTAGAGACTGAATCCCTGGGAAGACTTGTCAATCTGCCTGGAGAGTGGAGCCCTCCAGGGTCCTGGAACTCTGCATTTGGGGCACAGGGCTTTATTTAGTCCCCCTATCCCCACTGTTCCTAGAACCCTTATCTACTTTTGAAATTTTCTCTTTCCTGAGCAGAGGCCTCTCTTCTTGAGCAGAGCTGGGGCAGGCACTGCAGGGTGGTCAGAAGGACTGGACTCCCTGTGACATATATGGGACATACTCACACGTGTGCGTGTGTGCTCTGGCCATCTTTTGTCAAATACCAAGGTATGGATGTTCTATGTTCCTCAGGCCTCTGTAATGTGGAACAGGCTGATGTTTTCCCTCCCTGACACCTGAGGGAGGCCCTCCTGGTTATGTCCAAAAGTCAGTTGATGTTTCTTGGCCATACTGGGATCTTGGCCTGGCACAGACACACACACAGCTAGACTCTAGGTGTGGCTTATTCTACCTGACTCAGACTCTGGCTTTGCCTTGGCCTGTAGCGCAGTTTTGCTAGCAGAAAGTGGAGCTTGTGGACACAGGTTAGGTGTCTTTATCTGCCAGGTGGCTTCCTCAGCATGTGGTCAGTGCCGGGGTGGAGAGGCAAACCCTGGGATGTCAGTGTAGTTGTAGGAGGCACTGTTTTCCCAGAACCTGCCTGGCTCACTATGGCTGAGGAGGCTTGCAGTGGTGGTCACTGGACACAGCAGAACATGTCGGTGTCACTGCACTGTAAGGATTTCTGGCATGTGTAGCTCCTGTCAGTTTGTTTACTTACATGCAGATCATCATGAGTGGCAGTAGGTGTTTGGTCCTCCTCTGGGGACATCCTCTGGGGATGTTGATGTTGCCAGTTCAAGTCAGCATAAGTATGACCTGTGGCCCCTATTTTCTGGTTTGGCTTTCTCAAAGATGCTGGTTTTGTGTCAGGTTCTTTGTTGATTGGTAGTTATTTCTTGTTGAAATAGGAGCGGCGAGGCTGCGTCCCCAACACCCCAGCCGCTTGGCTAGCTCATGCCCGAAATAACAACACACAAACTGTATTCATTTAAGAACTGCTTGGCCCATGAACTCTAGCCCTTACAGGCTAATTCTCGCACCTGGACTAGCCCATTTCTAGTAATGTTTGTAAGCACCCCAAGGTGCGCTTACCAGGAAGATTCTAGCCTATGTCCATCTTCATCGCGTGTGCCTCAGAGAGCAGAGCTATCGCGTCTACCCGGGAGAGCTGAGCATGGTGTCTCTTCAGGAGCAGAGCAGAGTCTGACCTCACTTCCTCTTCCGCCCAGAATTCTATTCTGTTTACTCCTCCCATCTATGTTCCAAGCCATGAGGCCAAGCAGCTGGTTTATTATAACTTAACCAATGAAATCAACAGATTGATATATGACACTCCCACAATTTCTCTGTGAATAGAGGAGCTGACTCGGAGGGCAGTGGGGCCCAGCAGTGTTTTCACACGTCCTGAGGGCAGGCTTCTGACTGCAGACCCAAGTATATGTCTTGTCAAGACAGGATCGGGCTGCTGGTGTGTGCCCATGGTCTACTGTCCTGCACTTGGATGTTTTTATTGTCCAGGAGGGGCACAGGAAACAAACTGGCACAGGTCTTCCAGCTGATACAGTGACATGGATAGTCAAATTTATCTTGATTTGAGTAAAATATAAATTATGCCTTTTTATTTTTGTGACCAGAATCTAGCTGCTGATATCTTTAAGGATTTGCTCTTTAGAATATTACTTCTCGGGGGCTGGAGAGATGGCTCAGTGGTTAAGAGCATTGCCTGCTCTTCCAAAGGTCCTGAGTTCAATTCCCAGCAACCACATGGTAGCTCACAACCATCTGTAATGAGGTCTGGTGCCCTCTTCCGGCCTGCAGGCATACACACAGATAGAATACTGTATACATAATAAAAAAAAAAAAAAGAATATTACTTCTCAAATTGGTTTACTGTTTTTGAGACAGGGTCTCTCTGTTTGCCCCACCCCCAGTTAGCCTAGAAATTGAGATCCTCTTACCCTCCAGCTCCCAAGGACTAGGATAATAGCTGTGTACACTGTCAAATGTCACATGCTCAGCAGGGTGTCACTCTTTATAGTTGAACAATAAAAACAAAAGATACTGCAGCTTGTCTTGTGGAGACAAGTAATTCCCATAAAAGCACTGCTCTGTTCTCCACAGGACTTGTGTATCTCTGTCTGTTTGTGATAGGACCGTTTCTAGGGATCTTCTTGTCAAAAAATAGATTTTTGCTCAGAGTGGTAAGCACATGCCTGAAACCCAGCATTCAGAAGGTGGAAGAAGCAGAAGGATCAGAAATTCAAGGCTCAGCTACATAGCAAGTTTTTTTTTAATTTATTTTTATTTATGTACATTGATGTTTTGCCTGAATGTGTGGCTGTGTCAGATCCCCTGGAACTGGAACTACAGAAGCTGCCATGTGGGTGCCGGAGAATTGAACTCTGATTCTCTGGAAGAGCAGCCAGAACCCTAACTGCTGAGCCATCTCTCCAGCCCCTACATAGCAAGTTTAAGCCACCCTGGGTTACTTTGTTTTTCTCTGTGTGTCTCTATTTTTGTGACTCTGTGTCTCTCAGTCTCAATTAGGAGGCACTTAGAAAGGCTTTTTCTGTTGTCTTATAGCACTGTTTACCTTGTGTTCTGACGGCCAGCGTGGCTTGCATGGTCTGTGTCATCTGTGTTGCTGTCCCTGTACTCACACGCCTTTTAGACTCCTCAGCCATGGCACCTGTCAGAGGCCAGTTCAGAGGAGCCTGCTGGAGATTGCGGGGAGAACATAGGGCATGTGAAAGGGACTGGGCACTCCTGGAAGGGGAAACAAGGTCATACCAGGGAAGGGGCAGGGAAACAAGGCCTAGCCATGTCAGAGGCAGTTGGTCTGATGTAGCCCTACTGTATGTGCATCTTGAGGATGTAGGTGACTTCTAAGAGACGTGTGAACAGTCTAAGAAGCCCTCTGAGTAGGCAAGGACTATTGGAACTGGGAGAGAACTCTGGTTTGGGGCAGAGACTGACAGTTGAATTTCCAGAGGACATGCAGACAACACAGCCTCTCAGCTGGCCCTTATGGCTCTGAGCCCTGGGTTTGTCTTGGATAGCTATATACTGGAGGCATCCTAAGATGCTGGCAGGCCTCAGAGTGCATGCCTGGAAAAGGGTAATCAGAGGCCTCTTCTGTATATATGTGTGCTTTTTTCTTAGATGATTTAGGATGATAAAGCTTTCCACATGTTGTATTTGAGGAAGGTTAGCCTTTAGAAGATGAGAGAGGAAGGTGAGAAGCAGGGTTGAGGCTGTTAGGATTTGAGGAATGAATCATGGGTGTTTGGGGGTCTAATGAGTTCCAACTGGCTGACCTTGCCTGAGGTCTCTTGGGAACAACTGGGTGTTGTTGGAGATGGGCTGCATTGGGATCTTCCTGGATAGTCTGTCTCCTGAGAACTAGATGGGCTCTGATGCAGTCCTCTCTGGGTGGGTCCAGTACCAAATGGTCTTCCCAGTACCAACCTAGTAGGTACTATGGGAACTCTGTGGCCCTGCTTTCTGATAAGGCCAGGGATGGGGATGAGCAGAGTCCAGGAAACAGCCCAAGTAACTGGTAACTGGTGCTTGGTGGCTGTTTGGAGTGGGCTGGACACTGAGGACACAGTGCTGTGGCAGGCAGAATGTTGTCTTGCACACGTATCAGAAATGCCTTCAGCCCCTGTCTTTTCTATTGCAGACTTTAAAAAACTCAAAGAGCCTTTGCTCCCTGGACTATGAAGATGATGAGGACGATACCCAGGCGAAGACTGTTGTGTCCTCCCCGTGTAACTCTCAGGGCCTTGTGGGCATCATCACACCTGGCTCCAGCCCAAGGATCCCTAGACCTGGCCCAACCAGCCCCAGTGCCTGGGCTTCAGAGGAGCCAGAGGCCAGCACAGGAGAGGGTGGGAGCAGTGGGGAGCCCAGTGACTGGGACAGTGCAGGAGAGGAGGGTGTCTTCCCACTGGACCACAACGACCTGGACCTGGAGCAGATCGAGAACAACTGAATTTTGACTGAGCGTAGTTACTGTCTTGTCACCTTGGTGCCTGACCAGTGGAAATAACTTGTGTGTTATTTTGAAAATTGAGGCGTAATTTTGATTCAGTTTTTCCTAAAGAAGTATTTTGCATTTTTATGGCTTCTATAGTTTGGGAGAGCTTCTCTATTTTGAAATGGGTTTTCAGAGGGCATTGTATTAAACATGGTTCTGCCTAGATTCTGACTAGTTCTGCTTTTTTTTTTTTTTTTTTTTTTTTTTGTCAGAAACCTACTGTGAAAAGAGAGTATGATTTGCTTGACAACTTTGAGGCTGATGGTTGCAGGTTCCCTGTGGAGGGATCACAGCCTTGGGTGCTCGGGGTGGTCTGCACCCTTGGCCCTTGGTGTCTGTGGTTGACTAACTATGGCTTGGTGACCACCTGGCCTTCTAGCAGCTGGCTGGGCTGATGTATGAGATCCCACTGCTGAGTCCTGAGTCTGCTTTTCTGTAGCCCCATGATGTTGAGCTTCTGGGATGTGAAGTGGCCATACCAGTCCCCAAAAGTGATGCTGCTGGCAGCACAGCTAGCTCCTCTTCAGGGATTTCCTCCCTAAGATGTCCACTGAGGACCACTATTACTAGGAAGGGCTTGAGGACAGCACAGGAAATGATCATCTCTGGAGAAAATGGTTGTTTTTGTTTTTTTTTTTTTTTTCAAGAAAATTTATGAAAGGTGATTGACATTAGTCCTGCTTCCCTGTCAGATGATCTGGGCATACATCAAGTTTTAGTGGGGTTTGACTTTCAGGGTCTCTTATCTTTCCTGTCACTGGAAACCAGTGGTGTGTTCCCAGTCCTCCCCCCATCAGCAGACAGTGGCACCCGTGTCAGTGAGTGTGTGTTCAGTGGTGCTTGTCTGACACAGTCGCTTGCACAGCTGTGACATGGCCTTAAAGGTTTCCTTTCCATTGATGGCCCAGAGCTTTTGTTGCTGTTGGAACTTGGGCTGCATCTGCAGAGCCCTGTGAGGCAGGCAGTGGCCCAGCTAGTTCACATGGCCACACCAAAGCTTTAGTGTTTAGTTCCAGGACAGTCTGGTCTGGTTAGTGGCCCTTATCACAGTGTGTGTTACTCAGACGACTCACTCAGGCCAAGGATTGCCAAATGTGATTTCATAATTCTGCAACCAGCTGTGCAATGTGGCATTTCCAGGGCTGATGAGGGTCAGCACTGCCAGGTACTCAGACCCTGCAAGGCTTGTGGCTTAGCACTGGGAACTGCCCTTCTCTGGTTTCTGATCTCAACTCTGTAACCAGTGTCCTTGCTCCCTTGCTGTGGACCACTAGAATCCTGTGTGAGCTCACCCAGTCCTTGGCCTGTCACCCTGAGTACATTTTTCTAAGGCTGCTCAGTATTCCCTGTGTCAACACGGGCCTCTTAGCCACCTGGCCTACTGAAAGGGGGTTAATCTCATAGAGGACTATAGGGACAATTGGTTTCTTTTATATACCGTCTGCATGCCTGAGTGGCTACCTGCTTAGTCAAGCCCAGCTGAGGCTACCTATCACCTGCCTGCTTGTGATAATTCCATGTGCCTTTAGTTCTTAGACAGAGAACTCAGGCCTCACAGAGGCTACTAGACCTGCTTACCATGTCTTCTGTTCCCAAAGCCCTCCGCTGCCCCTGCCTGCCTCCCCTCAGTTGCCTGTTTCCTGCTCTGGGCCTCTGAGCCCCACCCTAAGTCCTCAGCCTGGGTGGGGCCCTCCTCTGGACCTTCATTGGTGCCTTGTTTCCTGCCCCTTGACTGCAGCTAGGCTGCTGCTAGCTACAAGCCTGCCAGACTTCCTCCTGCATCCTCACCTGTGCCAGCAGCATCGAGATGGGAGTACAGCCCTGCCTCTGCCCTCCACATCTCTCAGTGAGGCTGATTTCCCATCATCCTCAGAGCTGTCATTTGGCAAGTGTCCTGCTTTAGGTACACAGTTCAGCGACATCAAGATAATTGTGTGACTTCCATCTCCAGAACTTTGCATGTGCTCTTTATTTTTTAAGCTTACCATTTACTTATGTAATGTGTATGTGTGTTTTGCCTGAATGTGTAACTATGCCTGGTGTCCTTGAAGGTCAGAAGATGATCTCTAGGACTGGAGTTACAGAGGGTTGTGAGCCACCATGTTGGTGCTAGGAACTGAACTCAGGTCCTACTACAAGAGCAGCTAGTGCTTTTAACCTCTGAGACGTCTGTCCAGCCCTAAAACTTTCAGTATCTTGAAGCTGAAGCCCTTTCCCCTGTTTATCACCCTCTCTACCTTTCTAGTCCACCTTTGTCCCCGAACAATGGAATCGTGTGGGTCTTGTCTGATTTATATGTCTCAGAGGCACTTACATGTTAGAATCTGTTAGACTCACTGTTTTTCAAGGACAAACTGAGGCTTGCTTATTCTTGAATCCATTGAGATAGATGTTGACTCTTATTGCTGTGAGGGGCAGAGACATACCCTGGCAGCCCTGTCCAACCTGCTGTGGACCCTGATGCCCTGCTCAGGCGAGCAAGCTCCCCTTGCTCGACTGGCTCCTGCTTCTTGAATGCCATCTTCATAGGAGACATCCTCCCCTTGGCCCAGACACCTCTGCCTGTCCTGTGGGGCTCAGGTGGAGCAGGTCCTGCTGGTGTAGATACGGCAGTGGATCCTGAAAATAATGTAGCCTTGTGGCCTGACACCTCACTCAGGTCTGGCCGGCACAGACACCTCTTCAGGCTCACCAGAAAACCTGGTTTCAGGCATCCGTCTTGTGACTGGTCCCTGCTCTTGTCTTGTGGGGAAGCATCTGAGGAGGCGTGTTCTGCTTAGGGAGAACAGATGGTGCAAAGGTTCTGGGGACAAGCTTGGGGTGCTGGATGCAGCAAGGGGACCTGGGCTTCAGAGAAGAGAACAGGGTCTGGGGGCACAATAGTATGGTAAACACGAGTTCAGATACATAAGTGCAAACAGACTAAAATCTGAATAGGAAGAAACCACAAATGTAGCTATCCTCAGAATCTGACTTCCATGGCAAAACAGGGCAGATTAAAGGAAAAAGTCACCAGTTCCCTGTCCCAATGGGGATTCTGGTAAGCGGTAAGACAGACAGCTCACGTGTGTCCCAGATGGTGCTCCTAACAATGGGAGTCACAGCCTTTCAGGCATGGGGAATCTTAGTCAAAGTGTGACCATGCATAGGTCAGGAGGATGTATCAATACATGTCAAAAAATTGATACTTATCCGTAGCTATCTGATCATACCTCTATAACAACAAAGAAAACTTTATTTTAAAAAAAATTTATAAGAAGGGCTGGAGAGATGGCTCAGAGGTTAAGAGCACTGGCTGCTCTTCCAGAGGTCCTGAGTTCAATTCCTAGCAACCACGTGGTAGCTCACAGTCATCTGTAGTGAGATCTGGTGCCCTCTTCTGGTATGAGGTAGAATACTGTACACATAATAAATGAATAAACAAATCTATAATAAAAAAATTGATAAGAAGACTGGAGAGATGGTTTAGCCATGAAGACCACTTACTGCTCTTCCAGAGGACCTGAGTTCAGCCCCAGCACCGTATCAGGTGGCTACCAGCTGCCTGTAATCCTGCCTCCTGGGCATCCAACACCCTCTTCTGGCCTCCACAGGCACCCACACAAGTGTCAAAAGTGTTTTCATGCACACATATAAATCCTAAAAAAGAAAGTCACTTATGTAACTCATAGGTCAAAGAAGAAAATGAGGAATTAGAGAAGACACTTAGAACTAGCTGGGTTCCATGACAAAGCACTTGCCTAGACTCCTCCAGTGAGGCCTGGGCATAGCTGGACAGTAGAGTACTTGCCTGGAATCCATGAAGGGCTGGGGCATTGACAGTAAATGTCTGTAACTCCAGTTCCAAAGGACCCAGTGCCTCTTCTAGCCTCTGTGGGCACACAGGTGGTGCATAGACATGCACAATACCCATACAACAAAGCTGAAATAAACCTTTAAGGGGAGAGAAGAAATAAAATGAAAGCAGAAATACAAGAGACTGACCACCATGCAGCAGGAAAACTGACCAGCAGATTATGCCTATGGCTGAACAAGACTGTCTTATTCATTATCACGCCTTTAATTCTAACACTCAGGAGAGAGAGGCAGGCAGACCTCTGAATTCAAGGCCAGCCTGGTCTACAAAGCAAATTCCAGAATCCAGGACAGTCAGAGCTGTTACACAGAGAAACTGTCTCAAAAACCCAAACTAAAACCAAACCAAGCAAAACAAAACACACATACAAAAAAAAAAAAAAAACTACAAAAATAAAATACTACAAAAATAAAAGCCCCTCAAACATAAATAACAAACAACAAAAAACATCCAGAGCCATGCTTATCTTTTGATTTATTTACTTTATGTGTGTGAATGTTTTACTTGCATGCTGTAGCTATGATAAAATACCACCACCACCAAAACAAAAGGGTTTATTTTGGTCCACAGTTTCAGGTGATGGTCCATTATAGCAGGAAAATCAAGGAATCGGAAACAACAGTCACCTTACATCCATGTCAGGAGCAGAGAGATGTTAATATGTGTGTATCTACTGCTCAGCCCACTTTACTCTTAACACAACTCAGGACCCAAAGCCAGGGTGTGATGCCACCTACAGTGACTGGGCCTTCCTAAATCAACTAAGAAAATCAAGACAGTCCCTCACAGGCCAACCTGATCTAAATCCTCCATGAGACTATCTTCCCAGGTGATTCTAGCTTGTGTCAAATTGACATCAAAACTTAACCATCAGACTGAACAAGGTTTCAAAAATGATCAACACTTCTAGGAATGGAAGGAGGGGCAGTGGCAAAAAGGTAGGTCACAAGAAAAGGAGAGGACATCAGAGACCGCTCAGAGGAGATGGACTTTGTGCTGTGGGATAATGCTTTTGTACACTGTAAAGATTTGTCACTTGTATTGGTTTAATAAAGAGCTGGTTGACCATTAGCCAATCATAAAGTATGGACGGGACAACCAGACTAAGAGAATTCTGGGAAGAGAAAAGGCAGGGATGCAGTCACCAGCCAAATGCAGAGGAAGCAAGATGAGAATTCTACACTGAGAAAAGGGACCAAGTCACGTGGCTAAACATAGACAAGAATTATGGGTTAATTTAAGTTGTAAGAGTTAGTTAATAAACCTGAGCTAATAAGCCAAACAGTTTATAATTAATATAAGCCTTGTG